TTCTTAAGTAAATCTATTTTCAGTTTTTAAAAAACAATTGAAATTTTAAAATAGTCTTAGGGAGAAATACACATTTTAAAAACATCAATTTCATACTTTTAAGTATTAGAAGTACTATTAGCAATAGAAGAGTTAAATAGATTCTTACTTACTGAATCTCTAGTCAAACGTAGTCAGTTATTCTCTAGTCAAACGTAGTCACTTATTCTGATAACTTCTCCAAAAAGGAGTTTAATTAATTGCCTCGTAGGTAAATTCTCTCAGATGGATTTAGTCTTCCAAGTAATTTTTGTACCAGTTTGAAAGGGTCTCAGGGGAAATTGTTTTGGCTGGTAATAATTTTTTTTTTTTTATAATTGAATTGGGAATTGAAAACATTTCAACCTGACAGAAAATTGTACTTGGGGAAAAAATTTAAAAAGTTAGAAAATAAGATAAAAGTTTCTTCCACTGGACTTCCATATTCAATTAAAATTCAAACTAAAGAGCATTTAAGGTGAATACAATTATCTTCTATCCGGATATCAAGTTTCAGATGATTAAATTTGCTGTTAATAACTAAATCAGAAGAAATTAAAAGTATATTCATCATAAATGCGTTGCAATTGCATTAAAATTGCCTAATTCTAATAATTACAATAATTATTGTATTTATCTAATAATTAAAATAATTATTGTATTTAGTTTTAATAAAGTTAATTCCATTGCTAAATTTAAAGACTTGTTAAAATTAAACTAGATTAGAGTTTGTTCATATAATCCCATGGGTTGAAAAACTAGCTTTAGTTCCCCCAGCCCCCTGATAAACCGAAGTAGTGGATAGAAAACAGATATCGGCTTAAACTGTACAAAAACAACTAGAAAAATGAAGCAAACGAACTAAAAAAAAAAAAAAACCAATGAAAAGAAAACAACTAGAACTAGATACTATTTTTTTTTTTTTTTGGTAAAATGGGCCAGAAAAAAACCAGAGTCAAATTATTCTTGTTTATTCGAAAACTAAAGATGTGCAGGCAAGGCATTTCATTCAAATCGCAAGGAAGAAAAATGTAGTAGAAAAACAGCTTGATTTAGCTCAAGATAGCAATCAACATGTTGATCACTGCCACCTGCACAGATATTATTTTTACACCCCCTGGACAGATGTGACTGTTGTTTGGAACCACCTTGGCTATTTTGGGAACATGCAAAACTGACTTCAAGGGTGGTGATGTTTTCGAAACCAGATTCAGGACTATTTCTGGAAATAGGTGGGTTAAAATAAGCTAAAAATCGAGAAACGAATCTCAGGCCACCTGCTAGTTGAACTTCCCCAGAGACCTCCCAGCTGCTAGTCGGCCATCTTGTGCCCAGCTACAAAGAAGAGTTTTATTTTATTTTCTTTTTAATTTTCAGCTGTGAGTGTTCAGACTGAGACAGGCTGAGGTTTGTTCCATCAGCAACAGAATTGAACACTGGCAGCGAAGTGGCTGCTGAAAGTAGCAAATCTCGCTTTTTTTAAATGATAAGTTTCAATTATAATTTACTTGTAATACATTTGATGGCCAGTTTATAGGACATTTCTAACTGGATTAGGCATAAAAATCCCTGGAAGCTCAGCATCTCAACCGCTTCACTTTCAAGTCATTAGAATTCCTTAAGCACCATAACAAAATCCTAGTTCTTCTATGAAAAAATTAGTTGCACTCAGTCACAAGGGGAAAACCCCCCCCAGATCTTTGGAAGCATTAGTTTATAAAATAAAAGTCTATAGGAAGCACATTTACGGGACAAAAGGCAGTAAAGTACCAAACTCTTTACTGTACCTAAAATTTTCCCCTTAAGGTAACAACTAGGGTATTTTTACTTTTAATCCTAATTAAATTATTTCTCATTAAACGCACACATTGAACTTTTCCTGAGTGAGTAGTTTTTCAATTCACTTAGAGGTTTAATTACCTAGTTTATCTAGCTTTATTATGAATTATCCGTGAAAACACTTATTTCTAAACTCAGTTGTAACCACCTATAAAATTTAAAGTTAGATTTAAAGTTTTAATGGGAGAAGTTTGGGGCATGGTGGAATTTAACCCGGTAAAGGTCTCATTCTGATAATGCGTGTTTCCAGAAAGTAAAGGCAGATATAGATAGATAGGTTTGATAGATCAGTAAATTTGATTAAACAATTAAAACAAAGGTAGGAGTGATGGATTAGACAGATTAGATAAATTAATAAATTAGGAGGAACAGACTATAGAGATCTGTCTTTGATAGATGAAACAAAGATCAGAGCAACAACTGAGATAAAGATTATATGTAATGAGAACAAAATAAATCATAGAGTGACTGCAAGGCAAAGGGACTGGATGACTTGATAAGTGAAATCGCAAGACAGAAATTAGATATTGAAAGGTGAGGCAGACAGATATTAAAAAATGTGATGGTCAACCTTAACATCCCAATATTCAGAGAGAGAGAGAGTTTGGGAGACACGGATTACAGAATTAAAAACCCTCCACATTTCACTTATGCCTTCACCAATAAATCAAATGACATTTGAACATTAAGAAAAATTGATTTACCTGAAGTAACAGTGACCATGGTCCCTTGTCCCCAGAAGTCATAAGCATAATCACCTTACTTGACTTCTGTTGGAAGTCTGGGCAAAAACCTCGCTAAATCTTTTTTACCACAATAGATGTTTTGGTGTTCCTCTGCATCAGAGGGGACTTTTAGAAGGTCTAAAATAACTTCAGTTAATCCAAGGCAGATTCAAAAGGTGAACATGAACTTCCAGGGTCCATGTTATTTATTAAATACTATTTATTAAATATTATTTATCTAAGAGGCAATTAAGAACAAGATTAATGATACTATCAAAGACATTTTAACCTGACATATTTTCTCCCATTAACCTGGCTTTCCTTCTAGTACTCAAGAAAAAATCCTTATTCATTTTCCCCCTATGTTAATTAATAATATCAATTAGGAAGTTCAAATCACAACCTGACAATCAGTTAAGACCCTTAAATGATTCAATTCTATTCTTAAGTGTCTTGTTTTCAGGGAGATTTTTAAAGGGATTTAAGTGTCTAATTATTGTATGTACCTTTCAAAGCCTCAGCCTAAGTGGTTATGGTCAAAGATGACCAGAAATATTTTCTATCATCAAAACTCCCTCTAAAAACATGTCACGCACTTTAAGAAAGCCACCCTGTTTACAATTATTACACAAAATGGAGAAATAACAATTGTAAAAGGATTAAAAGACACTTGATTTGTCAGAGACAGCAACTCTGTCACAAAGGTTATTTTATAATATTAGATTATCGGCTTTATGAAAAGTTTGAATCTAAGCTCCGTTAAAGCCAGCGACTGGAATTCGGCTGACTTCAAACAGAGCTGAATTCTCGTCAAACATGACTACAATTTCCAATTGTTTAATTACTCAAAAGGAAGATATTTTTTTCCTTTATATTTACCTGAAGTGACAGTCACCATAGTTCCTTGTCCCCAGTAAGCAAACCAGTTGTCACACTGGAATTTATCTATGATCACATTTGACAATAACATTCCCTGTCCAGTTAATTAACTGACTAACTGATTCATAAAAACCAGGATTTTTTTTTTTTTAATAGGAGACAGTTTGACAATGAGAAGTTGAAACATCTGACCTTGCCTAGAGTCATTTAAAAGATCTTTTTTGACAAATGCTTACCGATGTTTAAGTTTCCC